TGGGTCGGAGCTGGGCACACCCGGGAAGATCAGAGGGGCCACCAGGCGGCGACCCCGTGCGCTGGCCCCCACGCTGCCCCTCCCTCCGTCCCACCTGGCATTTTCTTCCCGAACTGGGAAATCCATGTCCAGTGTTTCTGGTCTCTCTTAATTTTTTAAAAAATTATTTTATTGATTTCAGAGAGGAAGGGAGAGGGAGAGAGATAGAAGCATCGGTGATGAGAGAGAACCACTGATCGGCTGCCCGCACACTCCATATTTTATTGATTTCAGAGAGGAAGGGAGAGGGAGAGAGATAGAAGCATCGGTGATGAGAGAGAACCACTGATCGGCTGCCTCCCGCACACTCCACACTGAGGATGGAGTCCACAACCCGGGCCTGTGCCCTGACCGGGAATCAAACTGTGACCTCCTGGTTCCTAGGTTGATGCTCAACCCCTGAGCCACGCCGGCCGGGCTCTGGCGTCTTGGCTAAAGTGACAGACGACTGCGCAGAGCTGAGCTGTAGCAATGCTCCCGCTGGAGGCAGGGCCTCGGAGCTCCGGGCCTGGGTGTGAGGTGCGTGCGGGCACTGCCCTGGGCCGTGCTCTGTGCCCGGGAAGAGCAGCGTCACCTCCTTCCACCCGGACACCGCGGACCCTGCCCAGCCTGTGTGTGCCCCTCCCTCCCAGCTTGTCATGGTTGGGGATGGCACCGTCCACATGCCGGCACTGACCCCCTGGCCCGGCACCTACTCCCCTCCAGGCCGCCCTGTCGGGCCCAGGGCTCTGTCTGTCTTGTCTGGACAACAGTGGGGCCACATGGCCACCTGCCCCCCCACCTCCCCGCCCCCCGATGGTTGTGCTGAGCTCCACGGGAGACCGACATGAGGGTCCTTTCTCACCTCCAGATCGTCCACCCTTGTTAAACAGTGGGACTTCCCTCTGAGGGGGTCCCAGGCATATAATCCCCCTGGGGAGGAAGGCGGTGAGCTGGCCACTGGACAGTAAGGAGGCCAGGCCCCGAGGGGCACACTGGCTCAAGCAGTGGGCACACTTTAGTAGCAGGTGTCCGAATCGAACGCAAATTGGTGTAGGCGTGAGGACAACTCATTGGCTTAGGTAGCTGAGCCTTCTTCAGGAACAGCTGGATCCAGGCGCCCAAACAAGCGGGTGGGGTCTGTCTCTGCATCTCAGACGGGTACTCCCTGCGCCCTGGAAGGCGGCCCCACAGCTGCACCCGAGCTCTGTCAGCCGGGGCTTCGAGGGGCCTGGTGGTGGTGGTAACAGGAGTTGAACTTTCCACGTGACACTGGCTTTGTTGAGGGCGGTCACAGGGAGGCTGTCTTTTGCATGTGGGCGTGGGAGAGTCGAGCTGCGCAGTCCGCGCGTGGCTTCCGTGGGACGCCA